GAAATGCATGGACATGAGAAAAAAATAGATTTCAAGTTTTGAAAACAGTGCATCTTGTAACGTATTTTTTTGACTGTCAATTTTCCAGACTTTCAAGTTTTCATAGATCTCTTTGATCTACTCTATTTTTTAAGCTTTAAATTTTATAATTAAATATTAAAATATATATATTAAGACTATCACAAAGATTTCCAATATTAAAGCCATATTTCTTGATATTATTTGAACATGCGCTTTACTTTGATTGTTAAGAGCCTCAACTCCATACAAACGGCATTAACAAAACATTGTAGCCCACATTAACCATCATTGCTGTAATTTCCTAATGAAAAGTGACCATCACACATTATAAACCACTTGCTGCACTAAAAGTTAAGACAAACTTATCACAGTGATGGACAATCTCTTCCAATATCAGAATTGGAGATATTTAGGTTAGTACCTATTAGAAATTTTCCAAATAAACAGTGATGGTTAATGTGGGCCACAATGTTTTTGTTAACGTTTTTTTTTAAAAAAAAAACTCTCAAAAGAAAATGTTTTGTTACTTTGCATACCGGAATGACGTCAAATTTTGAACCTTGCATTTGGGATTATTTTCAGAGGGCATAAGTACACCATTACACCAATGGTGTACGGTGTATGGTACATGATAGAGGAATCTGCTGTCCATTCTTGTGATGAACGGTGGAGATTACCCATACTTGTGTGGTTTTCCTTGTGTGCATTATTGTGGTTGATATCCACCATTCATCGTAGAGAAAGTAGACAAATACATGGTCCTTTACTATATCATATCTAGTGTAGACCTTTATTACAGTAACTGTAGTTCACTTACCTTCTCGAGGGAGATGCCAATGTCGCATTTATTGCCATTCATTTCCTCTACAGTCACATTCGTTTAGGAGCACAGTCATTTGTTGTTATGTTTATAGATAAACTTTTAAAATTTTGGATAACGGGAAAGAGAGTACTTGGACTTTTAAGATTATATATGAAGAGACTATTACTTTTGATATAAAGAGATCACAACTAACTAAAAAAATTTGATAGCTTCAATATGTCATAATGTTCAAAAAAATTTCTTTTGAACTTTGTGCTCAATCAATGCAATAAATGTAGGCGCCCAATTTCACTTCCAATAGTTAAGATTAATTGGGGCCACCATTTTATACCAAAGATAAATGGTCTCATTGTATACTTTTCTTAGGGTCCCACTTTAATTGATAAAAGTTAATATTGAACTTTTGGGACTATATTCATCCACTAATTATTAAAGTATAGAATAAGATTTTTTATCTAGAAGAAGGCCACAATAGTTAGAATTTGGTGGACAAATTTGAGATGTACATCCGAAGTTTTATGTGATTACTGCATACCATTGGAATTGAAGATGAAGTTCTATAGGTTAACTGTAAGACTAATTATACTTTATGGGAAGAAATTTTGGGTAGTTAAGAAACAAGATCTTCATAGGATAAGCACAGTTGAGATAAAGTTGTTGAGATGAATACATACGAGAGAAATTAGATGCGGCTTCAATCAACGATAAGATGATAACAAGTAGACTTATATAGGCTAGTCATGTGCAATACAAACCCCATACAGTACCGATTAAGACGTTCGATTTGAAGGCCCCAAAAAAGCAAAATAAATGCCCAAAAGGACATTGATAGAAGTAGTGAGAAAAGTTATGATAATCTTTTATCTTATTGAAGGTATGACCCTTGATAGAAAAAATAAAAATACATGATTCATATAGCCGACCTCAAATAATTGAGATAAGGATGTTGATGAGATGTGAAATCGAGTGACTAAAGGTGTGTTACTGACTAGGCTCAAACTCCAAAACAAAATTTATTGGACTTTGTAGCATTGATTTTGACATCTGATGATTAAGAGCCCTGGCTAAAGGGTCTTAAAATATACGATCCCATTTTAGTTAGGTCACGAAAAAGAAAAGTTTTAGGGAAAATATCAAAATACTTATAAGAAATGTTTCTTTAATACTTTAAATTTCGTTGTCACTTGTCACTATAAGAGTGATGAGCATATCTAAGACAAGCTCACACAATTGTCAACCACAGTGTTAAATTAGGGTGCGGTTCATGCAAGATGGCACCCATACTTGTAGAACTAAGGTCATGGTATTCTACACTATTTATTTGAATTTTGATTTCCCACTCCTTCAGAGACAATGTCAAATCTCATTGTCAAAGCTTTTTTCCAACTAGTTGGGGTCGGTTAAACAAATCTTAATATGTCATTTTGCTCTGTTAAGGGTCATACCATCAATGAAATCATAAATCCCTATATTTTTCTCAATACTTTTAATCATATCCTTTTGGGTTTAACCCTTGCCATTTTTTAGCCTTCCACTTGAACTAACTCGCACCTCCTAACAAGTGTTGTACTAGGACTACGTCATACATGACCAACCTACCTACGTCTATTTTTTCTTATGTTATTTTACAACTAAATTTTCTCAAATGTATTCATTTTGAATTCTATATTTTCTTATCTTGCCACTCATTCTTCTCAACATCATCATCTCCACTACACTCATTCTATGGGTATATTATTTTTTGATCGCCCAATATTCCATCCCATAGAGCAACACTACTTTCACATTTGTCTTATAAAATTTTCCCTTCAACTTCATTAATATGCAGCAATCACATAAAATTCTGGAACATATCTCTACATCACCCACCCAACTCTAATTTCATGTGCGGCAACTTCCTCAATCACTTCATTTATTTAAGATTGTCAACAATGTTAAATCTACACCAACTATTGGTAAGTTACAATCACCTCACTTCTACAATGTTAAATCTACACCAGTTATTGGTAAGTTACAACCACCTCACTTCTACAGGTTGCCACCTTGTATAAACTTCATAGCAATTTGAGATTAGCCCTTGAATCGTTTTAACCAGATTTTGCAGCTCCAAATCGGTGTAGAAAAAGTTGAACCGGAACGGTTAGGACATGGGATCAGAAGCGGTTCAATCGGCCTAACCAAACAAGTGCCCGGTCGTTAAGAAAGTTTTAAAAAAAATACAAAAAAAATTAATAAAATATGAATCTTAAACATGATTAAACAAAACACATCCAAATATGGGAAAATATATTTTAAATAATGGATTTGTACCCACATGTATTTTTTAAATATTTGGGAAAATGTAAAAATATGTATTAATAGCCAAAACAATTTTCAATCTTTAACAAATTCGTGAAAAACATTTTAAAAAAATGTATTAGAAACAAAATCTCTTATTTTTTGAGATTTTATATAATTCTTTTGAATTTTTTTTTAAAATACATGACCAGTTCACCAAAACGGATCGAAACTAAAATCGACACAGTGATCAGTTCCAATCTAAGCGGGTGGTTACGATTTGAACCGCCCAATTTTTCCTACACTGCTCCAAACCGTGTGATCATGTGTTGTGATATGCTCATTACGGTTAGAGCGTTCTCTGTTGAGATTTTCAAAAGAATATTCTTAATTTCACACGCCAAGGATAAATTTCTAGGAGCCCTAGGATTTCTTAATATCAGGTTAAAGTGATTAAATAAGCGTATTCAACATCTATAAACTCCAAATGCTCAGTACATTTTGAAATTGCGGATACCATTATCTTTCGTGGAAATCAATGGTCCTGATGCTCTCATGTACGGGATCACTCCCCCATGATTTACTTAAACTAATTATGAAGTAATATAAATTCACTAAACATCTCTCCAACTCAATAAATAATCTAACAAATCCAATCGTACCCCTTTAGATTGGGGTCATAAAGACGCTGTTTGCAAGGTCCAACAAGGTACATGGTGTATGCAATGTACACTATGTTCAAAAATAGTGTGGAGGCGGGCCCACATTTGTTCCTGGACGTCTAGAAACAAGGAAACCCAAGGAGCCTGCCTAGCCATTTTGGTTGTCCGGTCATCCGGGAACATTCACGGTTAGTTCCAGACAATAAAAAATGGAGATTAACTACATTGAACATCAGTATCCCAAGATAAGCTTTGTTTTATGGAGCCCAATGTTGGGCGGTCAAAAAAAAACATATCCATAGAATGATGTGTAGCTGAAGTGAAAATGTTGAGATAGATGAATAGTAAGACAATAAATGATAGAATTTGAAATGAACACGTTCAAAAGAACTTTGGTGTGGCTTCAATAGACGATAAGATAAGAGAAAATAGATTTAAGTGGGCTGCTCATGTGCAGCGGATACCCAATGCGCTACCCATTGAGAAGTATACTTTAGTTCAAGTGGAAGGCTCAAAAAAGTTAAAAAGCGGCCCTAAATAGATATGGTTGGAAATAGTAAAAAGATATTGGGATTTATGACCTCACTAAAAATATGGCCTTTAATAAAGCACAATAACGCATCAGGATTCATGTAGTCGACCTCAAATAATTGGAAAAATATTATTACCATCTTCGTTCAGCATGTATGGTATTGTTCTCTCCATTTTTAAGAATGGAAAGCGGATGTTCCAATGGTTTACCATATACAATCTACATATGTTTTTTGAAATTCGTCAAGTTGGCTCGAAACCACCCGACCAACTTTGAACAGTGGACCTCCAACCCCCATTTTTGCCAGGGTTCCCACCAAATCTTAGCATTTTTTTTCTATTTTAAATCATTTTCTATAAATAAAAAAAACTGTAAAACCTGTGGGCCGGCTCGAGACTAGTAGATGATTGGTTCAACCCACCAATTTGTTTTCAAAATCATTGATCTACACTATGAACATATGACATAACTTTCTTTATTACCGCATTAATCGGTTCCCATGGACATCCTTTCATCTTTATGTCTCGAACAACAGCGTGCTTTAGGGAGCCAACAGCCTTGAAGTGGAAATCATCATCATCATAGCCTTATCCCAACCATTTGGAGTTGGTTACACGAATTTTATTTCACCATTCCGTCCTATCAAGTGCAGCCTTGAACAGAAAATAAAAGAACAAACAAAAGAGGGAGAGCACTTGGGCCATTGAAGCCATGGATTAAAACCCAAAAATAAATACAAGCATCCGTTGTCTACGCAGCGATAGGTCCTGGGAGCCCTAAAAACATGTTTCTCCCGCAATTATTTCTATTGCATTATCAGAAGACATACCAAGCAAATTCAAAACCCACTTTCATGAGACACTGTAAAACACAGTAGCAATTTTATTCAAAGCATACCTCTGATACAGACACCTCGCAAAAATCTCAATCATCAAAACAAGATTACTGCATATTCTGAAACTCAAAATCAAGCTGTTGTTACTCTCTTTTAAGTCTCCCTTGCAGATAAAAATCTGTTTCTTACGCTACAAAAATGCTCGTATTATGCTAAAAACATGACTCTATTATCACCTCAGTTCAAGTCTATGCAGACACCACAGCTTGCTTCTCTACAAAGGCCAGACCCTTCTCAATACTAGCCCTCAACTCTGGCTTCAAAGCCTCCAAGGCCTTCTCCTCATACTCACTCAGCCCCTCAAGATCCGACTTCACAAAGGCCTCAATCCCTTTCCTCCCAAGCTTGACTCTCGAAGCAAAGAAAGGCAGCTCAGTAAGCTCTGATTGCACATATGAACACTCGTAGACATCCCCATCTCCATCCAAAGCCCGAAGAGACGACTCTACAAACCTAGCAGCTGCATAGGCCATCGAAAGAGTAGCTGACCCACCTCCTGCCTTTGCCTCCACAACCTCGGTCCCTGCATTTTGAATCCTAACAGTTAACTCTCCTATTTCTTCATCTGAGAATTTCACAGAGGGCTTTGCCCTTGAAAGCAGAGGCAAAATGGTAATTCCGGCATGCCCCCCAATTACTGGAACATCTACATCAATGAGTCTTAACCCTTTCTTCTCAGCCACAAATGTGTTTGCTCTCACTACATCTAAGGTGGTGACCCCAAATAGTTTCTTGGGGTTATAAACCCCTTTTTTCTTGAGAACCTCAGCAGCTATTGGAACAGTTGAATTTACAGGGTTGCTTATTATGTGTATGAAAGCTTCAGGGCAGTTATCTGCAACTGCCTCAACTGAACTTTTGACAATTCCTGCATTTATATTGAAGAGATCATCTCTTGTCATACCAGGCTTCCTTGGAACACCAGCTGGGATAACCACTACATCAACATCCTTTAAAGAGTTGGCTAACTCAGATGGGCCGGTGAAGCCCAAGACTTGAGCAGGGGTGTTACAGTGGCTCAGATCAGCTGCAACTCCCTTTACATTAGCTATATCGTAGAGGTGCAAGGCTGAGATGAGAGGTGACATCTTGATCAAGAGCGCCAAAGGTTGGCCAATTCCCCCTGCTGCTCCTATAACAGCTACTTTGAAGGAAGCCTGAGGTTGGAAATTGTGGTTTGAGCTTCGGAGTAGTATTTCTGGTCTCCGATTTGATGCGAGAAGAGTGGCATAGATTCCTTTACCCAAGAATGAAATCTCTGATTCAAGAGTTATACCTGTTTATATTTAGAGAATTAAAAACAATCTAAATATGTTATAATCATAATGGGTTACAGTTTCATGGCTTATACCTTTTGCTGCTTTTAGACCGCTATAACTCTTAATATGGTGCGCAGAATTGACTCTCATGCCATAGGACTTCAGTTTTGATCCTGAATGAGATACAGTTCCAAAAGAAGCAGCTGATCCTAGGGAAAAGGATGCTGTTGCCGCCGCCATTTCAGGATACAAGTGCTATGTAAAGCGTGGTGGCTTCTAATACCCAACTGCATGCAGAAAGAGATTAAGTTAGTTGAGAATATGCTGGCTTAGCTGATCACTCTCTAGCAACTATATGCAATGCCATACTATTTTGGATAATAAACTGAAAGTGCTAGCAATAAAAAACAAGAAGTGATGGCCTTAGTATGTAGCTTTTGAAAGAGAGAAGTAAAAGCAAAATGTTTCAGTTTTCTGAGAGGTTTTAGAAAATGAAACTTGGGATACGTTTAAGTAGTAGGCCGAGAATGGGTCGAATTGGGTCCGGATCCACCAGTATCCAGATTTGGATCCGAAAAGTATACATGGGATTCGGATCCAAAAAGTATACATGGGATTCGGATCGGGATCCACATCCACATACACATCCAAAAAATATATTTGGGATCCAGATCAGACCCAAACCTGATCGGATCCAAAAAAATTATTTTATACTTATTTTTATCTATAAAATAATATAACAAAAATACTTTAAAATAGCATATAATACATTAATAACTTGATCAGATCCACCTGTACCACGATCTGATCCGAATTACTATTCAGATCCAGATCCGACCTGATGGAGATCCGGATAGGATCTGAAATTCGAGTTCCCAATCAAAACCAGGTAAATTCTCAGCCCTAAGCAGAAGCCATATAGTAGGCTGCTTATGATATAATGGGAAATATGTACAGTGGATACTGCAACACGACAAATTTTTGTCTATCTGGTCATAGTTAATGATACAATAAAACCGTGACCCTATAATTCTAATTGTACTTTTCACTTTTTTTTAGCGTTCTGATAAAATTTCACTACTTAACAATCCAACAGCAATCCCCTACAAAGTAAGATACCAATAACATCAAAGCATATAACCATGATCTTAACCTAGTTTACCGCTTAATATACATGCAAAGACATAGAAGTGGAATTTCTACATAGCCTCAGTATAATGGTTTGCCGGGCATACACTTCTACATTCATAAAACCTTCTTTATGCTAGTGTGCAACAATATGTATGATAAAGGTCTTACACACACGTACTTATTTGTTTGGTAAGTAAAAGTTATTGCCTATGAAAAATTTCTTCAAAAAAATCCAATAAATGCTCTAACATACAAATAGCATTCAAGAATTGATAAAGTGCAGAGGATACATGTTTATGATGACTGCATATGTAAATTGGTGTTTACATGTGCTTGGTGAATGTGGACCATCGATCCATCAGTCTATATTCATGTGTACCAATCTGAATAGCAGGTGAGGAGCACAAATTTCTAAATAGCAGTCCAGCTGCTATTCAAATTGGGGGGCTCATGGTAAAAAATCTAAAACCTATTTGTATGGTGTGTATGAACAATCTCTAGATTCTATGTGCACCCATTCCCCGTAGAGCTTTTCTATGAGGTTGGATAATACTTACATTTAAAACATAGGGGAAATGCTTTTTAGAAATGATCCTATGCACCATTTATAGTCACATATTGATGCAATGAGTTGTATGCATACTAGTTTACGTGTGCCAGCCAATCCATACAGCAGGTGGGACCGCATGTATAGTGTGCAACTGAGCATCACCAGCTCTTTGATGTTTAGTAGGAACTGATGATGCATATTGGCTAGATACATGGATAAGTGCCATATATGTGGCCATAGAACCCCTTTCTAAAAACATTTGCACAATTGCATTCGCACAAGAAATCAATTTGTGCAATGTTACAAACACCTTGATACAATATGCCCATTCCATTGATTAATAACCATTCCTGACATTCCTCCTAAAGTGATAAAGCATTTTGAATATTTTCAACATAAAATGAAATTAAATATAGGCATGTAACCTTTATTAAAGGTACAAACATTAGTCCAGGCCCACAATATTAGAGAGGCCCTGCATGTGGGGCAGGGACCCCTTCCTCCTTCATGCCCTCTCCCCTCTCTACACGTCTGCATTTTTTTCTGTGCTTTTGAAAAACTTGATGTAATTGGTAGAAACTGTGAAAAAATCATAGGATTGGAAGAATTTTTTTTATTCTATTCTTTGTTAATATTATATCTATTTCTCAATATTTGGTGTACTTTCTAAATAAATGAACTATTTGGTAGAAAAACACATAATAACTAATCTTTGGCTTTAATCTTCCAAAGAATATAATCAAGGAAAAACGTTATATTCAACAGCATCAAAAGATTTAAAACATATTAAAAAACATACACCATGCACATAGTTAATGTGAGATATTTCTAGTGGTGCAATGAGTTTATCTGATATCTCAAAAAATGGGAAGTTAGGAAGAAAATAGCATCGAAGATCACCTAACTAAGAAAGGATTATCATCAATTAGAGATGCACCAAAACTGAGTCTTCCATCATCAGTCAGATGCTCAATGTTTTCTCACCTCATGTTCTACTACTAAAACTTTCCATCAATTCTTTGTATTTAATTTTGTAAACTACAGTTAAGCCTAGAAATACCCAAATGTTTCCAAGATATAGAATATTCAATTTCATGAGATGGGTTCAGTTACATCACCGTCGAAATCATAGTCACCCAACCAACCAAATTGAGGATAAGCTTCAAGAAATCACAAAAAGAAAGAAAGAAAAGAACAAGCAACCCCATTTATGGCATCTCCAAACAACAGCATTCGTATCAAAAGACAATATACAACATTTGGGGAGAAAAAAAAACACTCCATAATTGACGGAATCGTCAGCACATTCAGCCTATTCCGTCCAATATTTCTAATGATCTTAAACAACAGTAATTTACTGGAAATATTATGAGACCTTAGCAAATTATTTTTCAAGAATAAATGGGTACCTGATAAAACTAACTTAAATTCAATACCTACAAAATACTAATGAAGATAACACGATACATGCCCAAATCCACAAATACCAAAAGCTATTTCCCAATAAAATAATCAAAACTGTAGCAGAAATGTCCCATCAATGAATAAAAACAACAAAACTGCAATGAAATGCATATCATAAAGAGAATTACAGGTTAGGGAGATAAACCTCTCATGTCAAGAACCCATATACTAAAAAAAACAGAGAACCATAGTCAGAGAGAGAAATTCACACATTTGTAAGAGATGAGCAGAGAATTAAAGCTAGAGAGAGAGGGTTAGAGAGAGAAACATAGAACCAGGGTACGGTTAGAGGAAATTCCCACCTGCTTTCTCAGAGCGCACAGAGATCTGAAAAATATGGAGGCGCAGAGACTTTAAAACCAGAGACTCTTGCCTCGACCCCTCTGTGTTGGTGGGGTTCCTTCGAGCAATCGTTGCCGCTCATTAACTTGGACGGTCCAGATCGCGTGGAGAGGGCGCTTTGATTTAATCGACGGCCGACAAAAGCGTCCACCAACTCCGTTGAAAGCGAGCGCTTTATTAATTGCGCACGTGAGGCAACAAATATCTCATTTTCTTCCCGACGAAAAAAAAGAAAAAAGTGGAGGTTTATACAAGGTGCCCATCTTATATTATATAAGTAAAATATGCCTTTAAAGTTTACTGAAAGATAGTAGTTTTGGTATTGGAAAATATATAATACCATGAAAATCCATATTTAAGCGTAAGTATGAAATTTAAAATTTTTTAAAAAATACAGATTAAGCAAATTTATAAATACTTGAAAATTTTGAAAATAGACTATTGAAAAAACTTGTTACATGCATTATTTTTAGAATTTTTAAAAAAAATTTCTTCATATCCATGCATATCGAGACGACAAGTTTTAAGATTTTCCAACTTTGAAATACTCTTTTCTGCTGAATTTTTGAGGTGCAAATTGCATCTATAATTTAATGTTGTAACCCTATATGACGTTTTTTTTAAAAAAAAAAATTCTCCCTCCAAAATATCGTGAAATTGATATTTCTCAAATATTGAGGGCTCTTGTAATTGGGTGTGGCCTAGGCCTATAGCTTTTTAGTTAGGAAAAAAAAAGAAGGTTCAGTTCAAATTCCACTAGAAAATGCAATTTTAGTATTGAAACCGTGAGCACATAGATATCTTTTTCGTCCTTTATTATAAAATGTGAAGCTCGAAAAATAACCTAGATTTCATGGAATGTAAACACTTGAAATTGGAAGGTCAAATTACATATACGAAATACAATAGTTTTAGGGTTGAACATCCGTTTGTTTATGGAACCATGATTATTGGGATCGAGATCATCAATTTAAGGGTTTTTTAAGTCCCATAATTGCATTTTTCCAACATAGTTTTAAAGAAAAAGTTTACATAATGGCGAGGAGGCTTTAAATACAATTTTAATGCTTAAGATTATAAAAATAGACCTTATTTAATTTTTTATCTTATATCTAAAACCTGGCCCTTATATATGCTTTTTTCGTTATAACCATACCCCATGAACATGAGGTTATCACGCCTTTATCAATGGGTTTGTTGGCTTGGACAGGCATGAGTGGTCACGAACCATGTAAATTGCAGTTCCTACATAACTTATATTTTTTCATAATTTTTCTAAAAATTAAAATTTTTCTCTTAGAGAAATTATGAAGTTCAAAATATTTTATATGAAAAATAATTGAAATACATAGCGGGTTTTTTTAACTTTCTATAATATTTTTAATTTTTTATGTTTATTTGAATTTCAGTTAAAAGTTATCAAATAAGGCCTTAAAAAAGTCAAATTTAAACTACATTAAACAATTACTTTGCCTATCAATTAACAAAAAGAGAGGGGACCCAGGAGAAACTATTTAGGAACAAATTTTCAGAATATTTTGACTAAAATGCTATTGGACATTTAGGTAATTTCAGCAATTTATGAAACAAGCCAAAAAATTCATAAACTTTTGAATTGTCTAGTCAAACGTAGGCCTCAACAAAACATGGGCCAATTATTTGTCGTTATTGAGCCGATTATTAAGTCAAGGCCAATTTGGACAATGAGAGCTCGAGAGCCGCATCACTCCCAACAACACAAACAACACAGGCCAAAAGATATTGCTCTCTCACGGGAGTAAACTATCCATTTGCTCCATGGAGAAAATGCCCAGGAATGCCTTTTTAGGAACCAAAGTTTTGGGGATGTAAGCTCTTCAACCTCTAGATTAACTCAATAAAAGAAATTCCCTAATTGCACCCCCTTGGAAATATAAATGGTCTCCATGTTTAATCGAGACCATCCAATTTTTAAAAGGTAAGTTCTAAGTGTTAGGAAACTCAAAATTCTCGTAGCATAATAAACTAGTGATTTTTAAGGGATTCCAAAATTTTTATGTTGAAAATAATCCTCCATAGTAGGTCTTCCTACCGAGGGAGTAGATATACATTATGCTTCCGCCAGAAGTATACACGCTCACAACACAATACACATGATAAAATATCGCTAACCCCATATCATTTACCTTTTGGCATAAACTCAAGGTGCTAGATTAGCAAAAGTAAATGAATTTTTTTTTCAAATTTTGTATTGCACTCTTGATAGTTAGGATTTATATGTGATAGCTAAAAATGATTGTCACCTTCCAGTTTCAAAAGTAAACTCTGTACAATCCTTTATAGTAATAATGCCTCATAATGTCATCCGTAAAAGCGCACTACTTAATGGAAAATGTTTATGTAAGAGTGAGGCCCTAAACAATTAAGTTAAGGCGTGCCTCAAAATTCCACACGAGGTTTTTTCAAGGGAAATTAGCATAAGCCCCTCAAAAGTACATTTTCTAAGAAATGTACTTCCACCTCAAGTTTTTTAACATATTTTTCTCCAAAACCAATTTTTATAGCAAATACCCCCAATGCAAAAAGTTTATATTTTTTTACGAAAATACCCTTCCGTACATAACAAATCATTTTCGGATCCCAATAAAAAGGAATGCCAGACCGCGGTTGTAAAATGTCGGGCGCATCCATTCTACTAGACTGGAACTGTACACTGCCGGACCACTTATTCCAGACACAATTGTGCCGTACCGTAGCTCCTAAATGCCGAACTACACTTGTAAAACACTGAACTGCCCATTACTCCAGAAACATAAGCGCTGGACCACCACTTCAAAATGGTGGATTGCCCATTACTCCAATAACATAAGTGCCGAACTGCCACTATGAAACGTCAGACCGCTCATTACAGTAACATAAGTAACTGACCGCCCACTCCAGTGACATAAGCGTCGGACTGCTACTTTAAACCACCGGACCGCCTACACTCCAATAAAACATACTTCCAGACCGTCACTTGTAAATGTCGGACTGCCTACTCCGATAGAACATACTGCCGAACCACCACCTATAAATGTCGGACCACCTACTCAAGTACAACATAATGTCGAACAATGACCTATTAATGTCGGACCACCTACTCCAGTAAAACATACTGCCGGACCACCTACTCCAGTAAAACATACTGCCGGACCGCCACCTGTAAATGTCGGATTGCTCCGAGGAAATTGCGGAGCGTGGCTTTGAAATGTCGGACTGCCCCTTCTTCTAGTAAGATTTTTGATGGACTGCCATGGTGAAGTGCTGGACCGTCCCATTTCCAATGACATGTGCCGGACCGCTACCTAGAAGTGCTGGACCGCACATTAATTTCATAAACTTTTTGCCAAGTGAAGTGCCGGACCGCGTTCTGGAAGTGCCGGATCACCATCTTTGATTTTCGGCCTCCCTTGTTTGTTAGCTAATGAATTTTGGTAAAAGGATTGGATGTTAATAAGGCTCATCCTTCTTATTATAGTGGCTTTAAGAGTGGAATCTGTACTTCTTTTTTAAAGATCAAAATGCTTAGAAACGTTTCTCAAAAGAACTAATATCAAGTATTATGAAATGAACCCAAGCCATCGTATTCCTTAAAGCAATCTGAAACATTTGTTATATACTTCGATGGATAGAACTCCTTCCACTTTGTTCTTTTCATTTTATGATCCTTGAGTTACTTTATTTTGCAGATTTCAACTCCTTCCACTTTGTTCTTTTCATTTTATGATCCTTGAGTTACTTTATTTTGCATATTTCTTTTAGAAGGATATTGATATTAGATTTTGCTTCCATATTATATACTGATAATAAAAAGAATAGATATTTCATTAGCAAGCTATTATGACAGAGTAGCTTCAATTATACAAAAGAATGGATATTTCACTCTTTCAAATTCACTACTTAATATATGTTTCAAACATACATATCAAACTCAAAAATGCATATCAACTGAAAAATACATCTCAAAAAATGGTTCATAGCCTTTGCAACTTGCATTAGTCACTTTTCAAATTACATATTCAGGTATCATCTCAAAAATGCATGTCAAACTGCAAAATACATATTTTTCACTTTCTTCGCCTCAATCATTTTTTTGCCAGCTTGTAATACCCTTCCCTGTTATATCGGGTTGCTCTCTAGTCATTTCCTCATGGACATCTCCCTCTCTTAGTAATCATAAATTCCACTTTGATTCCCCATGCAATGCCGGTACAGCTTCTCATGGTTTTTGCTCTAGTTATTTTTTCTCTTTGTTCTCCTCTCATTTTCCCCATCAGCTTCACTTTTCTTATTTCCACCATCTCTATCCTCACTCTCTTTTTCCTCATCTCTACCATTTCCCTCATCAGTCTCGCTTTCCTCATCTCCACTATCTTCCTCATCACTTTCGCTTTTCTCGTCTCCAACATCTCTCTCATTGCTCTCGCTTCCACCATCTCCCTCCCCTATCTCCTCTACACCAGCCTCTAAAGGAGTGTCTTTGCAATAGCAAATCATGGGTCACATGTATGTGACGTCTAAATTCCCATGTCAATACTTTACCACTAAGTGTAGCTTGTAGCATCTCTATACAGGCTAAATGCTACAAGTAGACAATAAAAAACAAAATATATAATTAGTTTAAATACATATTAATTCAATAAAAACTAAAATACATAAATTAAATAATATACGAATCTCATGTCGTCATCATGGTCTGCAAGGGGGCACATTTGATTGCGACTGCAAAAAGGGGCACATGGGGTATTTCTATATCTATGGGTGAACATGTTGTACCAAACCATATAATCTTTTGTAGGAATTCCATCATATTTATCCACAGCTGCCATGACAATATTGTGTTTTCGTTGCTGCCAGTCGCTTACCTCGCTACTCAACTTGTGAAGGCAAGTTAATACCGAGTCTCTCTCTTCTTACTCTTCCCTCGCGTTCCTGGTTTATATATGATTCCATGTCTCATAAAAAAATGTTTCCATGGATTGAGGAATCCCAAAAACCATTGTGTTCTGCTTCCTATTAGGGTTTGGAACAGGGTTT